CATACAGAAAAATATATTAATGTAAATAACTTTTTAAAAATCAGATTTATTGTAGAAGTTATAATATAGAAATAATATTGTAATGTAGAAAGTTTATCAGAATGAAATAGAGAAAATACTTGGCGATGTTCTTAGTTCACAGAGTGGCTTTACTCCTGAAAGTTTATCAGAATGAAATAGAGAAAATACTTGGCGATGTTCTTAGTTCACAGAGTGGCTTGACTCCTGCAGAGATTTTAGAATAATATGTCTAAAACATCACTTGCCACTGAGGTCAGAGGAGACAATTTATGGTCAAAAATGGCTTTTTGTTTCTTACCTTTGAGGTTCTCTTCATTTAATTTAATCTTCTAGGCTTCTAAAGGAAAAAAACCACAACTATTTGCAGAAAAGTGAATTATACTATTCTAGACAATAAATGCCTGTGTATTCTTCTCACATTTACTTTTGTGAGATGCTTCATATTTTCATATAAGGATAGGTCACTTTAGTATGTCTATTCATATATGTGCCTTTGCAGAAGTTTATATGTAACCTTTGCAGGACTCTTATCTAAAAGAATTAGAACAGCAAACACATAGAACAATGGCATGCATAATTCTGGAAAGTGGGTATAAGCTGATAACAAAGCTTTTTTGAATTAAGTTAATTAGACTTCATTTATGAGGTCTTGTTGGAAAGCTAATTTCTAATTGCATGAAACAAAGTTTTATGCCCCAATTATAAAATGATATATATATATATATGATATATAATTATAAAATGAGAATATATTATGTGACTCAACTTTGAAGAAATATATATACCCTGTAGTTAAAATAATTGATTGAAGAGTCTTGGATATAGTGCAGTCCTTATGCTTGGAAAGGAATGACGTAGGGAGGAAGGAATGTACTTGAATTTTGACCAAATACACAAAGTATTTAGGAGGTGTAGACCTTGCTCTAAAGGGAGACCATCTTTAAATAATAATATGAGACATCTTAATGGAAAAAGCAGGCAAAGAGTGGAACATCATCCAAAAAGAAGGCATTAAAAATGGTTTCAAAAGAAAAAGTGAAAAGAGAACTAATTCAGCACATGTTGTCAATAGTAGATAAGGCACCTTTCTCCATGAGAGGTCACTTTCACTCTAAAATGTTTTTTTTTTTTTTTTTTTTTTTTTTTTTTTTATATGGCTGTCTTTTTCAGTATGTCCTGAGGTTATTTTTCAACTATATCCTTTTAAGTAGATTTTACAGAATGAATATGCTTTCAGAACTTTGAGAGCTGCATGTAAAGGCCTACACTAGATTGTGTGTATGCAGGCAGAGATACAAGACTAAATTTTACCTCTGCTGACTGCCACATTGCATGAAGTATAGGGGCTACTATTTCCTGGTGTGATATAGTCTTTAATAGATTGGTAACAGTGTTTTGGGAGGTGTTTTAGTATGTGTCAAGGGTCAAAAAAGCTACTCTTAGCAGGGGGCTGGAGAAAATATTGAGTCAATAAACTATAGAATATTTTAATTGGGAAAGATAACTGACCCAAAAGTAGGAACACCTACTTCTGTCAGAAAAGCCTTCAAGCAGTTACTGCTTTGGTAAACTGTCAGATTCTGAGTATGTATGAAAATTGTGTGGCTCCTGGATAACTACAAGATTTCTTTTAATGTTTTTTAAAGAAAATCAATAAGACTTTCTGAAGTGACCTTGCTTATTGAGGACAGAGGGAGAGAAAATTTTAGTGGCAGAATGGAGCACTCAGATGTGCTCAGCTACCACTGTAGGTCTAGAAATGACCAATTTTCTTGTATCAGCTATTGTCATGGTATGATCACTGTGGAACGGACATGGTTTTTCTCCTTTTTACTTCACCTGTTGGAGTTCTCTTTTGTAAAAGGAAATAAACTTTTCTCCCAAGACTGTTCCCCTGAGATAGGCACCTTTCAGCCAGTACTTAGCACTTAATTGATAAAGGTTGCCAAGAAGGAAGAATGCCAGACTAGTGCCTTTTAAGCACTCTCTTTACAGTTGTGATGAACTTCATTGGAGGAAAAAGTGACAGTACAGATACATCATATTGAATGAAATGTTGAAGTCTAATGGACTCTGGGACACTTCAACTGAATCTGTCATAACTTTGAATTTTTTTCCTCTCAAACAAGAAAAAATAATTGAAAGCAGTTTCCTAATGTGGCAATAAGTACAAAATACAGCTTTCAGATGTTTACTGTGCGCTAGTGCAAAAGCAGTCTGAATATTTTCTTTGCACAGGAATAGATCCCCCAGTGGACACTGGACATTTCATATTTTCTTCTTTCACTGATGGCATCTGTCACCTTGTGGAAGCAGAATTGTTTTCATACTGTCCTTTAACTTCTTGTGTCTTAAAAAAATGAGAAAGCACATGGCTGCAAGTCAGATCTACTTTTGAATGCAAAAGGTCTAGAAGTGTCATAATGTATTTGGAACAGACTACAAGGGAATTCTGTTTTAGAGAAAAGACTGTTTTAATGCCAAGAGGTGATGTGGTCCAGGATGAAATTTCTCTCTGTAGGTATAGTAGCTGCCTTATGGATATGTGCTTACTACTTTTTTTTTTAAAAAAAATACCATTACATACACTTGCAACATTCAGGAATTCTCAAGATTCTTTTCATTGTGTAGTACCCATTCTCTATGGAATTATTAAAAGTACAGATACCTGAAGTTGTGTTTTTTTTTTCTTTGGTTGTTTGTTGTTGTTTTTTTCTTCTTCTCTGGATGATAGTAACTTTCCTTTATATTTGAAACAAAACTTGCTCCAGAATGGTGATGTTCTGACATGCTTTGACAAGCCTAGTGTAATATGTTGTGTTTCAACTCTTTTAGAAAGTGAATTGTGGAATATTTGGTCTGTTGTTGTTAGATAAATAATTGTTTGTAAGCGTAAGCAGAACAGTTGAAATAAGGAAGTAAAAAGCCCAAACTAGACAGCTCAGATGCTGGCGTATCACATCAATCCTGAAAATTATAAAGAGTTACACCCTATGAATATTATGTATGTACTAAAAGACTATCTGAGGTTGGAACATGCTAGCCTCTGTTTCCAAGCATTTTTAACAGAGAGGAGTCCAAATTACATTTTTCAGTAATAGAACTCCTTATTTTAAAAGTTGTATCTGCAGATACTTAGTGAAAGTGTTAATGCGGAATGAAATATTTGGTTGCCATTCATCCAGGAAGCTTGTGTGCAGCTCCATCTCATGCACCCTATGGGTTTAAAAGTCATACCTTGGCTTTCAAGAAGTATGAAGAGAGGAAAAAAAAAATAATTCTGTCAAAGCTGCCAGGTTTTACCTGGTTTCATATCCAAAGCAAGGCAAGGCTTTCAAGAAGAGAGAGAAGCCAGCCCAGATTCACTCAACACTGGGCCCAGGTTCACTCAGAAGGGTTGTGAGCCCTCACAAACCTTTTGAAGAATCTGGGCCGAGTTTCAATTCAGTATTGAAACCTGTAATCAGGCAGGCTTCACGTGCTCTTGAATTTCCTTTAGAAAATTTACCCAGCTCTCCCTCAAATTTTTTGTGGTTTGATGGGATTTTTTTCACTTTCAGCAAAACAATGATGGAATCTTCAAGTAGTGGTTAATATATACAGTGTTTGCTGCTATAAATGTTCAGGCACCGCTCACCCTACTCAGCAGACTAGCATTGCTTCTAATAAAAAGCATTTGCAGCGTCAGACATAGCTCTGATCCTTGTTCTGACTGGGGAAATAATAAGGAAACTCCATTTGTGTATCTTGCTACAGATTTTACATGTCTGTTTTAGTGTAAGTCTGTGATTGTAAAGTACTGTTGATTGAAACATTATAACAGAAAGTAGTGGTTATCTTTGTTCCCTAATAATTGCATTGCCTTTCGTATTTTTGCCAAATTTAAAATCAGAATTTCCTTTTCCAGAGTAGAAAAATAATTTTAATGAAGTATTATTGTAGAGCTATGTTTGGAAAGTAGAATGAAAAGTAGATTAAAGTTTTATTCTTCTTTTCTAGGTTTCTGTATGAATTCTGTACCACTGGCATTTGTTTCTAGGGAAGTTCAGAGCCTCTTAATATCCCAAACCTTACTGAATCTTTGGAATTCTAAAACTCTCCTTGTAAATTAGCAGACTGAAAAGGGAAATCGAAGTCCAAATTGAAAAGCTTTTACTAAAGCATACAGATTTTAAGTGGGATTTAAATTTTGCTATCTGACACAAAAGTATATAAGTATAAATCTCACCTAAGCATACATGCACAGAGCAGTTTGTACTATCCCTTTTCACACTGCTAATGATTAAGTTAAAATACACATTCTTGTACATGTTGTGTATCAAAATACCCAAGTTCAGTGAAATGAGTATAAAATAAAATACAAGAGAACACATAGAAAATAGTTTTTTCACCAGTGGGTGGCGATGAAAGTTTCATATTTTTCATCTCCTTCACATGATCACCAAATGGTAATTTCCTTCATATAAAACCAGTCATTTTTTCAGTATTGGCCTCCTACGGCTCTAGTACCTGACTAACTGATGTGTGTGCAGGGAAAGGGAAGAGAGTTTTATTTGTAACCATCAAGCAGCTTTTAGAAAAGCTCTAAGGCTGGATCCTTCCTGCTCTTCAGTCAGCTTTTGCTCCTTTTGGTGGATCAGTTCCCATCTTTGCTAAGTTTTCAGAGTCATTGTGTAAGATCTGTTTTTAAATCAATTTCATGACCTGATTGTTGTTTATATTGATGCAAGACTTTTAAAAAAAATTTTCAAAACTTGCTCTATGTTTTTATTCTTAATAGGGATGTCAAAATTCAAGTAGTTTTCCTTGTGTGGTTTTTGGAGGTGTTTTTTGGGTCATTTAGTGTTCAGAGTTGATGTACTTGTATAGAAATCACTTGAGGATATATTCATTTTATACATAAGATATTTACAATGAACATTATTCTGAAGCAACATCTTTATCTTTCACCTTGTAGCTAATTTTTTGTATTTTTACAGCTAAAATAGACCAAGAAAATGAAGAGAAGTCACTGACAGAAGCACATAAAAGGTAAGAACGGTGCAGTAAGACTTTATTTGAAAGTGAAAAATTTATTTGAAAAATATCTTTTGGTAGAAATTGCTGTATTGGTAGCCAGATTTATTTTATTTTTTAATAGAAATGCACAGAAAACTAGTTTTTATTTATTGTAAATTTGAATTTTACAATTAGGAAAAAAGTTAGAAGGAATATGGACACACAGCTTACCTTTAGGTAAGCCTCACCTCGAGTACTGTGTGCAGTTCTGGGCCCCTCATTTCAAGAAGGATATTGAGATGCTGAAGCCGGTCCAGAGGAGAGCAACAAGGCTGGTGAAAGGACTAAAGGGAACGTCTTACAGGGATAGGCTGAGGGAGCTGGAGTGGTTTGGCCTGGAGAAGACGAGAATTAGGGGGGACCTTATCACTCTTTTCAACTACCCAAAGGGAGGCTGTAGTCAGGTGGGGACTGGGCTCTTTTTCCAGGCAACTAGCAACAAGTTGGCATGGCCAGAAGCTGCTCCAGGGGAGGTTAAGGTTGGATATTAGAAAGTACTTCCTCACAGAGAATGTGATTAGACATTGGAATGGACTTCCCAGAGAAGCAGTGGAGGCAACATCTCTGGATGTGTTTGAGGGAAGGCTGGATGTGGTACTTAGTGCCATGGTCTAGACAATGTGGTGGTGTTAGGTCATAGGCTGGACTTGATGATCTTAGAGGTCTTTTCCAGCCATGATGATTCTGTGATTTAGTTAAATATTGCATGACTCCTATCTTTCAGAAAATGCATATATCTTAGGTAAAAGTAAATTCAGAATATATCATTTGAAGTGAGAGAAAACTGTACATACTTCACCAGAATCATAGGGATTTGACAGACACATGGTATTTCCCAGAAAACTATTATTCGTTGGGTATAATTTGCTGTGCTTATAAAATGCCTACTTTAACATAAATAATTGAAATATGTTTTTTAATGTATTAATGAGACGTATAATTAAATATTACTTCCTTTGTAGATCTTCAAATAGTTTTTTTGTGGTAAAAAGCAAAATACCTTAGTTAATTTTATTACAGATGTATGCAGTTGACAGTTTTCAGAATTGAAACTTCACTGCATTGCACAACTTGTGGTTTCTCCTGATTTTTTGGCAGTGTTCTCCAGAAACAGTTTAAATGAGACAGATTTTTCACTGTCCCGGAGAAAGACCAAAATATGACACACACCATTTATAGCTCAGGTTTAGTGAAACTGACAGTCTGCATTTGTTTTCCTTGCACTAAAAATAGCATCTTTTTGTAGTAGCTACAACTGTCACTGAATATATGCTAATGAATATATTCATGATGTATTCCCAGGGCTGGGATGTATCTCAAAAAGATTCCAGTAAAATATACTGCTATAAAAAGTTCTACATCTTGCCATGGTTTGTTAGCCATTCTGTGTCCCCAGTGGCTAAATTTGGTACGTTCTGTAATACCACAGTGCAGTTGACATCTTTCTTGGTACAACACCACATTTTCTCTCTATTCCCTGGGGCTTATGTACTAAAGACAGTACCTGAAAAGGAAGCCAAGGGGAGAGTGGATGTTCCTCTGCTGCAAGAAGCTCCCTCCTTACTTGTAAGGAGATGGTAGGTCCTTGAGTGGTATATTGGTGATTTGGTATCGTAATGAAAAAAAAAAAATGATAAAAGGGGGGTATTGCTTTGGCTTAGCATCATACCTCTCATTCAAGTATATGAAAGACATTCCTGGCATTTCTTAGGTTTGTTTAACTACTGAGTTACATAATTCTTATCCTTAAAAGTCTCCTTCACAATAAAACTTTGAGAGAAGAAACTGCTGTTAGGAGAAGAGATTTTTCTCATCCCTGATTGCTCTTTTAAGGGAACTGTTACTGCTGCGAAAATGGATTAGAGTACATGTCCAAAGCTGACAGATATCTAAGAACAAGAGGGATCTGCAGCCTGTTTAGAAATCTTGTGACTTGTCACTGTCTTTTGGTGTCTAATTCACTCTCCATTCTTATTTTTTTCCACTCACTGCACTGGAATCATATTTAAAAAATTCCTAAAAAATTCCTGTTGGTATATCTAATATCCACAGTATAGGGACAGCAAACTGTTCCCTGGATTCTTATTCAGCTTTATCTGTTCCTTCTGACTTGTCCTCATAGTTTCTTTTTCCTCTGTGTTGAGTGCAGCAGCTCCTTTAACATAGGAATTTGTCAAAGAAGAAAATTTAGCTTAGTTGTTCCTCTTTACTGTCAATATCTAGCAAGGATAACACCACATGCAAGCACTTTCATGGAACACATGAGGAACTATGCTAGGACAAGATTAGGGCAAAGTTATTTTTTACTATTATCTAGGCTACACATTTCTTTGTTCCTTCCATCTTCCTACTGAAATTCTTCATCAGATTAGTGCTATTTGTTAAAATGTTGAAGACATTCATAGTATAGTTCTGGTATTATGTGTATTTATTTCACGAAGATATTTAATTTGGCATAGAAATAAAATGCTTGGGAACTTTTTTGATGGGGAGTGGATGAAAAAGAGGATGAGAACTTGAAAAGCTAAATAAAAGATTAGTTACATTTGGCTAGTCATAGGTAGAACAGCAACACATAGGATGACTAGGCAAGCAAGTAGTGCAAGGAAAAGTGATGGATTAGATGGAACAAAATTAATAAGATTAATGTGCTTGGATTTTCCTTTTTGACTTGGATAACTTCAGCCTGTGTTCAGTTCCATTCAAGTATACTCCATCATAGTATTTCTTTAACTTTCAGCAAAAACTACAAAGCCTTATTTTTTTATATATTTTTTTTCTGGGGGGTGGAGGGGCACAAAGTATTAAAGCTGATACCTGCATAAAAATATGAAAGTCTAAAAGAAACAGCAAAACCAATAAAAATGTTTCTAAAATGAATAATGATTTGGGCAAAATGCAGCAATGTGTATTTTAGAAAAGCTCAGTTGTGCAATAGATGGGCTGAAATGGAAAGTTAATCTTCCACACAAAATTAAGACAAAGAAAATGGAATGTCTGCTCTAGGGACTCCATGCAGTGTATAGCTGTTCATTTGTCACAAGTGAGAAAATGTTTAATCAGTCTCAAAATGATGTATTCTCTCTTTATTTATCATGTTTAGTGACTTTAAGAGTGTCAGTATGTAAAGTGTTTATCCAAGGAATGGATTTCTGGCACATGGATAAAATGAAAAGTGAAATGTTTAGCTCGCAATAGGCCTATGTTCCAAGATCTCTCTGAGTAAGTATCCTGAGATGAGAAGAAAGCACACAGGTCTGTGTTTATCTAGCTTACGCAGGCAGACAAGGAAGGCTCCAGCCTGGTATTAACACTGAAGTGACATGGAATGTCTTCACCAAACCCCAAACAATTACATCATTCCCTTAACAATATTGATAAAGTGTAATGAAAAAGAACCTGGCACTTTCCAATTCCTCATTGCTAAATACTTGAGAAACTGTGAAATACTTGACAAGTTAAAATAAAAACCACTGTTTTGGGGTAAGTGGAAAAAAGTAAAAGCAGAGAGAGAGAGAAGGGGGAGAAAAGATGCTTCTGTATTTTAGGAGACCACAATTTGGTTGTTGTTGGGTATTTTTCTTAATTTTCTGTTATGTGCTCTGTCCCAAGATGCATAGCTATATGCTCAATTCACACAGCTGCAAATTATATTGAAACAGCTTTGTAAAAAATATGTAATATCTTTGAAAATTGGGAGAGACAGCACACTTTCCACCTAGCAACAATACGTTCTGTATTTTCATTTACTTAGCTCTAAATACCTCTAATCTTTCAAGATGTGGTTTTCTTTAATCAAGAATAAAAAAATAGAAGTGCTTTATTTTCCAGATATGCTGAATACAAATTTAGAACGAGACAGAGTTTGATTATGGCACCCACAACAAGTAGGAACCAAGACTGCATCAGTTACTCCCATAAGTAATATGATAGCTGATGTCTTGTTTACATGCTAGGATAAAGGGCAGTAGCAGCAGCACCAATATAATCTTGTTCACTAATAATCAGAAATGAGCTAGTGATTCTTCATGTCCACTTCGTTCCGAATCAACAGCTAAACAACTTGACCGGAATTACCAGAAGCAGCATTCAGTGAAGCTGAAGGCCCTAATTCTCTGCCTTGCTACCTCTATTCAGCTGAATAGATATTAAGTAATAGCAGGTAGTTTTATTTCTTTCTTATACATCACCCAGTATTGAGTTCTGATCACCTTGGAAGGCTTCCAGATTGAGGTCTTTTTTAGAAGAAAATAATTTCAGACTTAAACATTGCTCCCTCTTCCACTGAAATATTTAAGATGATCTTTCTCTTTTTCTTCCCCTCTACCTACAGTGATTTGTCTCTTTTTGGAATAACACCATGGAAATAATTCACAAATTGTACTGGAGATGTTTATATTAGACCTGAGACACAGTCAGATGATCTTCAGTTCTTCCTGCTGTATCTCAGTAAAACTGGATTCTAAATTCCATGCAGTAGCACTATACATTGCTCAGTTTGTTTACTTGTACTTTACTCATGTAAGAGGCAACATATGCTGAAAATCTCTGAAAAACACTACAGATACTTTTATTTCCAGTATTTCAGAGAGTATAGCCCTGCTTGAAATGATAACATAGGTTGTTATCACTAAGACATAACAGTCCTGTATAATGGTGGCTTGGTTTAGGGTGAAAAGTTTCACCCTTCTGACCTGCTGTGATGCCTGATGAGGGCTGTATAGAGAAATGCTGTGCACTATAATGGCTTTGTGTACATCACCAATTTTAACCAATCTGAGAACTTCATTTGTTCTTTAATAGGTCTCTGCTTTAGGAAAATATATATTTGTTTCATAAAAAGTCAAACAGAGGACTTTCTGCCTTCTGACATGAGTATCAACTGTGGAATTAAAGATGTGCATGGCGGGACATGAAACACTCATCTTCCCATGTCAGGTTATTTTTACTTGGTTTGTTTTATAATTTTCTCC